TTGGCAAAATCCAATGGGAGGGAGGGAGTATTGTTTTTTTCTAAAACAGAAATTATTCACTCCTAAATGAGGAAATTTTACACTTTTAATAGGATCAAATAAGTCATATTTTGGGAATAAAACATAATTAGTTTTATTTGTGCACTTTCTTTATGTTTTAGTCCCATTTGAAGTCATTTCTTTATATTCTAAGTTCAATTTATGTAAAAAAAAAATCTCACTATATATCATGTATTAGCCACAATTTTTCATTCTACACTAATTTATCATAAACTAAACATGTCTAACTGAAAATTAATATCTTCTTTCGTACTGATGAAGTTGAGTTTTTAATTGATTTTGATTTGTCAGAAATTTGCAATTTATGCCAATTATTTTGTCTTGAATAGCCATTTTTAAGCATATCTAAAAATAGAAACACCAACTTTGTTTATTCCGTTTATAGTTTTACTCATGACGACAAGTAAATTTCAGTAATAACACATTTCTTTTAGTTTATAACCCTGTTTTAGGAATGAAACATATTAGTCTCATTTTCAATTTTCTAAATGTTTAGGGTATGTTTGCAAAAACTTTAAAAAATTGTTTTTAAGCTTTTGGCTTAAAAACTGAAATGAGTGTTATCAAATGACAAGTTCTACTTGAATTAAACACTTATAACCCATTTGGTAACACTGAAATCGGCTGAATCGGTTGATTCAGCTGAAATTTATGAAGTTCTGGACTGGTTGTATTGGCTGATTCTGTTGATTTATGAAAAAAATTAAAATATATTTTATTAATAAAATAAAGAAAAAAATATATGAAAAATAGCTAAATGATCATCTACAGTAACTTCAGCCGATACAGCCAGAAAAATAAGTACAACCTTACTTTTTCTTATTATTACATAATTCAACGCGTGAAATCAAAAGTTACATGTTTGGTTAAAAAGTTGGCTGATGATAAGCTTGATAAGCTGACAAACATAGTCACTAAACGGGCTCTTAAAAGCTAAAAACTAGAATCTACTTTTTACTTTTTCTATCACACAAAAAATACATATTTTATCAAACACTACCAACTTTTACTTTGCAAAATCAATTTTTTTCTCAAACATTACCAAAATTTACTATTAAGCACATTTTCTAAAATCACTTTAAAAAGTCATTATTTTAAAAGTCATTATTTTAAAGTAAAAGCAACCGCAAGCACTCATTTTTTAAAAAGCGTGTTTTTCTCTTATTTTGAACAATGGTATTATTTTAATTTCAATTTGTATCACTTCTTAACTTAATTTTTCTACTGGTGTGTCGTGTAAGATTCAAGAGTAGACATTGTCCTGCTGAGTCATAGATCCAATGCACAATTTGACCCCATCTCTCTTCTCTTTTTTAGCTTTTGGTTGTACATTTCTTAATTCTATTATCATTAACTAAACATATCTAACTGAAATTTTAAATCTTCTTTCGTACGAATGAAGTTGAGTTTTTTATTGATTTTGATTTGTAAGAAATTTGATATTTATGACAATTATTTTGTCTTGAATAGCAAATTTTAAGCATATCGAAAATTAGAAACACAAACTTTGTTTATTCCGTTTGTAGTTTTACTAATGACGAGTCAAGTAAATTTTAATAATAACACATTTCTTTTAGTTTACAACCCTGTTTTAGGAATAAAACACATTAGTCTTATTTTTCAATTTTCTAAATTTTTTATTCCTATATGAAAAAGAAGGGTTTGTTCCTATATTGCCCTGCTGAGTCACAGATCCAATACACAATTTGTCCCCCATCTCTCTTCTCTTTTAGAGCTTTCGGTTGTAAATTTCTTAATTCTATTACATTCAATTAAAGTAATATTTGTATCTTTCATATTTCATTGAAATCTAGAGTAGACCTATAAAATGCACCAAATTTATTAGAGATGCTCTAAACAAGAAATTCTCCCTTTCATAGAATGTAGGCTAAAGGGTCAAATAGGTTCTTGAACTAACTTAAAGTGTTCAATTAGCCCCTTATATAGGAGGTTCAGCCCGGTCATCGTCAATTGGAGAGGTTCCCGGTGGAATTTTTTGATGAAATTTTTTGAGCATCTTCTTCATTAAGTCTAGCTTACCCATATCAAATTTCAGCTAAAAATTAAATCGGGAAGGCAGTCAAATGATTTTCCGAAATGTACTGTGCTGTTTAACTACGCAGTTATCTTCAAAAAAATCATTTGATTGCCTTCCCAGTTGAATTTTTAGCTGAAATTTGGTATGAGTAAACTAGACTTAATTAAGAAGATGCTTAGAAAATTTCATCAAAAAATTGCACCGGGAACCGCCTCAATTGACGACGTCCGGGCAGAACCTCCTATATAAGGGGCTAATTGAACACTTTAAGTTAGTTCAAGTGTCTATTTAACCCTTTAGCCTAGAATGTATCACGTTAAACTGTAGTGTGCAACCGGAATACCATGTGAACACCTACACGGTGCTCCAGATACACATTGCGTGTACATAATAGACTGATGCATTTCTTTCCAACAATATTATCATTGATTCCCTTGTAGATGTGTGCTTGGAATAACAATTGAGGAAACCTCACGACTCATATACTCCATTGTTCATATACATCAAACAGTATGGTGTGAATGAATCTTATTTCGGGTCACCGGGTGCAGTATGTAATTCAAAATTTATTTGATGTCTATATTATCTTAAAGCTGTGTAAATGATGTAGCGAGATAAAAGCAAAAAATAAATTCAAAAAACAATAGCGCTGTTTACAATGAGCACAACTGCACAATAATCCTTTATCATGCTATAACCACCCATATAGGATCAACTAAATGTATGACGTCGCGATTGTTTAATTTTAATTGTTTCATAGGTAACAAAGGAGGGGGCAGGACACCACTGAACTGGGAAACAAGAGCTTCAATTGCCCTTAGTACTGCCCGTGGGATCACATACATCCATTCACAAGGCCCATACACTTCACATGGCAACATTAAGTCATCAAATGTTCTCCTTACCAAATCCTATGATGCCCGAGTGTCCGACTTTGGCCTTTCTCAGCTCATTGGCCCCACCTCCACGCCTAACCGTATCGGTGGCTACAAGGCACCCGAGGTGACTGATCCCCGCAAAGTGACCCAAGAGGGAGATGTATACAGTTTTGGGGTTTTGCTACTCGAGTTGCTAACAGGAAAGGCTCCAACACATTCGCTAACTAGTGAGGAAGGCTTTGACCTCCCGCGATGGGTTGAGTCTATAATCCGAGAGGAGTGGACTGCTGAAGTGTTTGATCCCGAACTCCTTAGGTACCAAAATGTTGAGGAGGATATGGTTAAGCTCCTTCAACTTGCGGTTGATTGTACTGCTCAATATCCGGACAAGCGCCCTTCCATGGCGGTTGTAACTAGTCGAATCCAAGGTCTTATTAGTTCCAGCGTTCTAGCCTCTCGTGATGGCATAATTGATGATCTCAACAACTAAGAATTTGAGGACTTTGGTGCAAACACAAAAAAAAAAAACAGGGCCTGAGAATCTGATACCTCACAGTTTTATTTTTCTTTTTTTAATTCTTGAAGAGTTGGTGTTTCTATTTTATTATTTGTTCTCTTAATTATTCTTTTACTCCATATTTACTTTCCCTTCTCTGCTGTTGTTAATGAAAAATGACTATTGATTTTGGCTATACAACCAAGACTTTCTCCTTTCTTCTTTGGGTGAACGTTCACTTTCTTTCATACAGATCGGAGTATTTAAATACATTTTTTTCTTTAAATTCGTGCAACAGCAATTGTTTTTATTCATTTAAGGGACGACATTTTATTTTTAGTTCATGTCATCAATGATACTACGTACTACTCCCTCCGTCCCCCTAAGTTTGTCCCGTTTTACCTTTTTCGTCCGTCCCACTAAGTTTGTCACATACCATATTTGGTAATATTTAAGTGGTTAGAATTCATTCTTACTTTATTCACACTTTATCAATTCAATATCAACCACACAATTCTACTTTATCTTAAAAACCACACCACACCCCTTTGTCCCAAACTTAGGGGGACGGAGGTAGTAGTTTTTTGTGCAATGATACTAGGAGTCTGTTTGCAATAGCTTCTGCTTTTAAAAAAGTGCTTTTTTTAATGAAATGAGGAGAAGTGATTAAATAAAAGTTGATAGTGTTTGGGAAAAAGTGATTTTGAAAAGTAAAAGTGGGTAGTGTTTGGTAAAATAAGTGCTTTTTGTGTAATACAAAAAGTAAAAGCACTTTTGACGCGGAAACCGAGAAAAATAAAAGTTGTAGTGTTTGGGAAAATAAGTGATTTTTTAAACTCAAAAGCTGAGAAGTGCTTTTTTAAAAGGAGTTGCAAACCAACCCTAGAGCCTAGGGGTGAGTGGGAATTAAATGTGAGAAAATGTATTTGTTTTTTCGACTAGAGTAAATATATTCCATGCGTGCTGCGTCCAATTGGATTTTTCCAATTTTCTTTTTTTTATTGCAAAAAACTTTATAATAATTAATTTGTGGTTCTATTCATTTATCTTTATTGTTCACACAGTTCGACCACAAAAATTTTAGTATTTTAATTTCACGCCAAACCAACTTGACAAAATTAACTTAACAAAATTGAGTTGAACAGAGTTAGTATTTTTTAAGTACACTAAACATTGAAAAATATAGAGCTCGTTTGGTAGTACAAAAATCGACTGTTTTGGCTGATTCTGTTGAAATTTATGGAAGTTCTGGCTGAAGTGGCTGCATTGGCTGATTTTGCTGATTTAAGAAAAAATTATTTTTAAAATATACTTTATTAATAAAATAAAGAAAAAATTATATGTAAAATAGTTAAAATGGTCATCTACAGTGACTTCAACCAATACAGCCAGAAAAGTAACGTCAACCTTACTTTTTTTGCTTATTACACAATTCAATGCGCGAAAACAAAAGATACGTGTTTGGTGAAAAAGTTGACTGAAACCGAAAAACAGTGTTTCCAAACGGTCTCATAAGGTGCCGTGGAGTGGATTACTTGATGCTTTTTACAACTTTCTCCATTCCTTTAAAATTGTTCATTTTTTTTAGTTTTTTATTAAATTATTTTTTTAAAATTCGATAAAACTTACTCCGTATATGGAGATGGAAAATTCGCTGTGTACACCCCGGTTTACACACCGGTGTACACAGCACAAAAAGCCCCACCCCCACCCCTTTGTAACCGTATAACCCCCACCCTCTCTCCCCTCTTAATTTTTTTTCCGTCTCTCCCTCCCCTGCACAGAGAAGAAATTGTCTGCTGCGAAAATCTTTCGTCTGTAACTATTCTCTCTCTCTCTGAAGAGGTGATCGAGCTTTTGCAGCGGCCATGGAAGCTAGTAAGACGTATTGCGGCGCCGACGAAGTTGGCCTGGGCTGGACATTTGAGGATATATTCGGTCCGAGTCCCGGGGACACGCCAGTGGCGATGGAAAGCTTTGAAGATGCGACAGAATTCATGAGGCAAGGGCATGAAGAGGCAGAAACAACGGCGATGAAGGGTGCGACAGAAGGTGATGAAGGGATGGCCGATGGGAAAACTGTGGATGCTGAGCAAGGTTGGTGTTTATTTAGCATCGTTTCTTCATGGATATTATATGGTTTCTTCATGAGCGTTTTTTAAGCATAGACAAATTTGTATTGTCTGTTTATACTTTATAGAGAAGTAATTTGTCTGCGTGGAGACATTTGTTGTCTTTCGTACAGACATTTTATTCCCATTTGTATGTATTCTTTCGTTGTTATGGAAGACATTATGATGTTCATACAATCTGTTTTTAATGTCATTACACTGTCTTTTGTTGTTTGTATTTATATTAATAATGTCTGTAATTATTAATAATTTATTCATTTCTTCTTTCAAGTGGTTTTACCATCTCATCAATATACCCTAGTGTAAACTTATAATGTCTGTATGTGCATAATTTGTATCTGTCCATAATGTCTCCATGTCCTTAATATTGTCTGTACTTGAATAATATTGTCTGCATATACATATTTATAAATAACAGATGCATACAGAAATAATAATGAGGAAGAAGATGTTGATGCGGTTGTTCCTGAAGTGGGCATGAAGTTTGACAGCACTGAGGTCGTTTATGAGTTTTACAAAAAATATGGTAGAAGGATAGGATTTCCGGTTAGAAAAAGAACATCAACGAAGGATAGAAAAGGCGACGTAGTGTCAATAGTAATAGAGTGCTCACAGGAAAAACCGTTTGAAGGGGCCTCTGGAAAAGGGGAAAACGAAGTCAAAGGTATGTTGCCCTGCCATTTCTTTAATGTACAGACACTTACAACACTTTCGCAGACATTGATCACCTATGCACAGACACCTTACATTGTGTTCAACATTACTGATTCTTCCCTTTATTCCAGGCTAGTGGGCGTAATAAACGAAAGGCAGCGGACACTGCTGTTGAAGAGGGATGCGCTGATCAACATGGTGTTGGTGTAGTCAACAATACTATGACATTACACTTTCAGGACGGATTAGATTTAAATCTTACTCTTTTTTGAATGTAGTATATGATTGGAATGATTTACATCCTTGTTTATGGAATGTTGTAAACAAAATTACTATTATGTGAAGGTAGGATGATTTGTGCTATTTTTACAAATTTTCAATGTACTGCTTTTTACAAATTTTCAATGTAGTGCTTAGTTTTTTTTCTTAATCAATTATATACCGCAGACAAAATCCATCACATTACAGTCAATTATTTTGCATAATACAGACAGAATTATACAGAAAAAATGCAGACAAAATGCAGAATAATACAGACACTTAGTTTTTACTAATCAAATATATGAATCAAATGATAGTACTCCACAATAATACAGACACTTAGTGTTTACTAATCAAATATATGAATCGAATAATAGTACTCCACAACAATTATCATAAAATGTTGCAATAAATGCTTGCCGAAGTACAACCAAAATGCATATCAATGTGTACTACAAGCTACACAGACAACCGCAAAATATACAGACATTCCTGTACGTATGCCACAGACAAAAAAATATTGGAAGCACATTGTAGAATTATTGTACAACATGGCTCGGCCATTATTGTACAAAATACTACATCTAACCACCAGTATGTCAAAAAATACATCTACCCCCAATGTGTTTTTAATAATTACATATACAAAAATAATTGTTTTACAACATCGATCTTGCCATCATTGTTCATCATTGTACAGACATTTAGCTTGATTGTCTTTCATCTTCCATAGGCGTTTAGCATACTCATGCCTCTTATCTTTCATCGATCTTGCAAGGTTAGACATTCACTAAGCAGTTCTAAGGCATCTTCGTAGTCAGAGCGCACAGAGTATTGTGCGGGAAAGTAGTCTTTGATGGGAATCTTCAATTCCATCCTGCAAATACAGACATTTGTCAGAAATACAGACATCTATGAAAACTATATAGACAACTCTGCAATCGGCAAATGCTTATAGACAAGTAAAAAATGAAAATACATATGCAATAACACACTACACAGACATCTATGAAAACCATAAAGACAACTCTGCAATGCACAAACGTATCAAAACAAACAACACAGACATCTCAGGGGACATATATACACAACTCTACAATCCGCAATTGCTTATAGACAAGTACAAAATGAAAAAAAACATATGCAATAACACAGCACATAGACATCTATGAAAATCATAAAGACAACTCTGCAATGCACAAACGTATCAAAACAAACAACACAGACATCTCAGGAAAACCATATGGGTTTTGAACAACATTTTACAGATGGCTTTTAAAAAGTAAAAACGTACAGACAAACATCACACCCACATAGACATCTCATACAAGCCATAAAGACAACTCTAAATCCGCAAACATATAGCGAAACACTAAACAGACATTTCAGGGGAAACCCACAAAAAGAACTCTGCAATGCACAAACATATAAGAACACAGTTTACAGACATCTTAGAATACACAAAACAACACACTACACCGACATATCAGAAAACTCATCTCAGAAAAAACACAACAATGAAGATGGTTATGAAGATCTTTACCTCTGAGCCAATTGAGTCAATGATGTGTGCACCATATCCTTCGAAATCGAAGCCTTGCACTTAAAATTTTAGATGAATTTCAACCTCGCCCTTCGAAATCAGTAACCGCCGTACGTACGAGTTCAGTGGAGTGAAGCGGACGACGACCGGGGGGGTTTCGTGACCTGCGAACGGAGGAGAAGAGGGAGAAGGGTGTCAACTTCGTCGTAGGTGTCAAATTCGACGGACGAACGGAGAAGAAGAGTGAGAAGGGTACAGATGAATGGAGAAAGGGAAGGAGAAGGAGAAGTGGGGCGAGTTAGCTCAGAAGGAGGGTGGGGTGAGTTAATTAGAAAAAGGGGTGGGGGTGGGGCTTTTTGTGCTGTGTACACCGGTGTGTAAACAGGGGTGTACACAGCGAATTTTCCATATGGAGATAGTACCATGTAATGATGTATGGGAGCAAGATGAAACGTTGAAAGACATCTTAGACTGCCGTGACAAAAATATCAAAATACGAATTACGAAGCACTCTCCAACGGTAACATCATTCTATACCCCACCCACCCCGACCCCGACCCCGACCCCGACCCCGACCCCTCTTTTTTTTTGTTTCTTTTTCTTGGTTCTGTATCCCAATCTCAGTACTTCATTCAATCTTCTACTATCCACTACTCTCAACTCCCCCCCGGCTTCTTTAGTTACCTATTAACCCATCTCCTTGTTTTTGTTTTTGTCAAATCTCATTACCTTGTAATTCTTCCTCGAAGAAAACGGGTTCAGGCTATGGGGTTTCTCCTGCTCTTCCTGCTCTTAACGCTTTCTTCGGTTTATGCTGATGAAGGTAGGCCTTTTAGCTTAATAAGTCTGTTCGGTTTCATATGTCCGAAATATACTGCCTTCCAAGCTCCCCCTTTTATTTGCTCTTTTCACTCTTTTCTTTTTTTTGCTTGATTTTCGACTTAATATGAATGTTCTTAACAATAATTTATATGCTGGTTTTGGGTATATTTGATGTTAGTCTGGTGGCTCCGTTATAATTCCCCATTTTATTAGTGTGTGGACTGCTTCCAACTTGTTTCCCCAAAACATCAATTGTTATCAAGTGATACCAAATGCTCGTGCCTGCTTTTGTGTGAGGTTTAGAACCCATTTCTGTATCAATAATCAAGAATAAGTTGCTCGGTTATGACTTACCCATACCTCCTTCCATCTAGGTCACAAATTAGTAGTTAAGATGGCCAGAAGGAAGGACTTCGAGAGTAGGGAGGGAGATAGAGGAGCTACGGGAACTAGTTATGACCCTAAATAATGAATGTGTTTGCTTTGCCGATTAAGAGATGATATTTTAGATTATATGTCTATTATATTTGAAAGTAAAATGGAGTCAAATGAAATAAATACGTATTAGCTAGTAATTTAAATAATTTAAACTCAAGATGTAAAAATACTAAGTTGAGCTAGTATTTATATAATCTACCCTCAAGGGGTATTAGTGATTTTTCCAATGTGTTTACCAAATGGACAGCCTTATGCAGATTTTTTTGTAGATTATGCTTAGACGCACAATATGCTAGCAAGCCTTGATGTATTATGTTCCATATTAAATTTGGTTTTGATGCACTCCCCTATTCCTCTTAGACTGCACACTGATTTTATGATTATGTAGGTTTTGAATTTACTTATTTGGCTAAGATGGAGGTTAATTGATATTTTTTCTCCCTCGAAGTTGGACCATTTCGGGAAAAATATCTGTACCAAGCGGCTTAATAGTAAAAGTTGTGAATGATTCCTAAAAATTTCGGCCTAACCTAAAGCCCCGCACCCCCAAAGCTCTAGGCCCGACAAATGCCTCCTAAACCTTGTATATGGCCTAGAGATTGCCTACGCCTTTTTAGAACAATTGTTATAACAGAGAATCACCATAACATTTTCAAATATATCACACATTTGACATTCTTCGTGAGTCAATTTTATGTTTAAAATTTGAGAAAGGGGCATATAGTACTTTAATTATATATTTAAGAGTCATTTTATGTTTCTCCCAGGTGCAACTTTTAGAAGTCATTTATCAGCTTAACTAAAGTTACTGTATATACAACTTGATTATATAATTTTGGGAAACATGACTTTTTATTGGGATAGGGTCAGTAACATTTATGCTGTTCATTATTATTATTATTGTTATTGTTGTTGTTGGTATTTTTCATGGATCTATCATGAGATGATGCTAATTAATGGCTTTCTTCTCATGGGGGGCTGTGGGGCATTTCGTCCCTTGTGCCAGCCAAACAAACAGATGCTGCTGCAGCAGCTTTCATTGGAGTGAACATAGGTGGAACAGACATGTCAGACATGCCACACCCAACACAAGTAGTTGCACTTCTGAAAGCCCAACAAATCCACCACGTCCGCCTAAACAACGCGGACCGGGGCATGCTTGTGGCCCTGGCCAATTCTGGCATCAGAGTTGCGGTCTCCATCCCGAACGATCAGCTCATAGGCATTGGTGAGTCGAACTCGACCGCTGCAAACTGGGTTTCACAGAACGTGGTGTCGCACTACCCAGCCACCAACATCACAACAGTTTGTGTTGGTTCAGAGGTGCCCTGGAACATGGGCCGTGTCCTAGTCAGCGCCCTTAGGTATATCCATTCCGCCCTGGTAGCATCCGGACTTGACAAGCAAGTGAAAGTGTCGACCCCTCTCGCGTCTTCCGTCATCCTCGACTCGTTCCCACCGTCCCAAGCCTTCTTCAACCACTCGTGGAAACCTGTTCTGGTTCCCATGCTACAGTTCTTGCAATCCACGGGCTCCTCCTTCATGCTCAACGTCTACCCGTATTATGAGTACATGCAGTCAAATGGAGTTATCCCTCTGGACTATGCTCTTTTTAACCCTCTCTCTGCTGCCAAAGAAGCTGTTGACTCTAACACCCTCCTCCACTATACCAATGTGTTTGATGCTATGGTGGACGCCGCTTACTTTGCAATGGCTGACCTCAACTTCACGAATATCCCTGTGGTGGTGTCTGAGTCGGGATGGCCCTCGAAAGGTGACCGCAATGAGCCTGATGCCACTATGGACAACGCCAACACTTACAACAGCAATTTGATCAAGCACATTATCAACCAAACAGGAACCCCAAAATACCCCGGCATCCCCGTCAGCACATACATCTATGAACTCTACAATGAGGACACAAAGCCGGGCCCAGTCTCAGAAAAGAACTGGGGATTGTTTGACTCAAACGGAAGGCCAGTGTATATCTTGCGATTGACCGGGTCCGGATCCGTTCTGGCAAATGATACTACAAAGGAGACTTATTGTGTTGCGAAAGAAGGGGCAGATCCTAGGATGCTTCAGGCAGCTCTGGACTGGGCTTGTGGGCCAGGGAAGGTGGTATGTTCACCGCTGATGCAAGGTGCGCCCTGTTATGAACCAGATAATGTGATGGCTCATGCGACATATGCTTTTGATGCTTATTATCAGAGTAAAGGAAAGGTTCCTGGAAGTTGTGACTTCAATGGGGTGGCCACTGTCACCACAACAAATCCAAGTAATAAG